AAAAAATGAACCAATGGTTCGGCAGCGGTGCTGCACAAGCCTATGGCGACAAAGCTTGCCAGAGCCCGCCAGAATGGGCGGAGCCATCTGGCTATATAAGCGGGCGTTCGCCACAGGATTCTCAGGTTACTTCGACTGAAGCGATGAGTCGTGCAGCTACATATCACGGCTAGAAACGCAGTACTCGTTCCCATATCTCAGGGAACCGAGGTTACATTAGTAACCGAGTACGTTCCCTGTCGATACTTCACTCGTACTGCGTCTTGCTAAAGATGCTATAGGAACACAGTACAATCACGCCGTGCTATGGTAGAGGAACAACTGCATATTATAACCTCCATAAGCAAGAATGCCCATAGGGAAGTTAACAATGAACTCCAAGGCTAAAAGGGGCTGAACTTCCCAAGGTCACGCCCAGCCTGGGTAATCGTTCCAAAGTACTCGTATAACTTCGGCGCCCCAGGGGCCGAGAACTGACAAGGAAACTAACCCAAGAGCTTGAGCGTGTTACGGTCAAGGACTCTCTGTTAGAACTGATTGCATAACGCAGCGAGTGTCTCCTTAAGCAGAAAGGACCCTGGCTTGCAAGGCCGGGACTTCTAGGTTATAAAACCTAGCAAATGTGGACGGCGAGGCCCAGCCGGCCGCCTCACAAATTTTCGTAATGGACACACCGCTATACCACGCCCAAGACGAGGCGATGCCTCTAGTCGAATGGGCCTGTACTCCGATGGGGCACTGTAGGCCCAAGGAAGAGTACGCTAGCGTGATAGCATCTACTATCCACCTAGAAAGTCTTTGCTTCGTGACCGGATGCCCTTTGGTGCGGTTACCGAAGCTAACAAAGAGTTGTTCCAACCTTCTGAAGGCGGCGGAACACTCGATGTAAAATCTTACAGTAGGCAAATCCCATGTAGGGATAGTGAGGGGGCAAGGCGGATTCAGCCTCCTAGCCCCTCTTAAGAAGCGGACAACTGAGTTGTTCCTGCCCACTGACTGGCCCGCTATAGGGGCATGTGAGGCCACTATAGCTGCTACATACACTTTGAGCGTGGATGGGGAGCGTCCCTTATCCAGCAGCTCTTGTAGGAATGACAAAACCACTGACAGGTCAGAGGTAGATGGGTCAGAGGTAGATGGGTCTTCGCCGCGGTTTAAGCACCAAGCGGAGAAAACAGACCACTTAAGGGTGTAGAGGCATCTTGTAGACGGGGCTCTAGCTTCCGAAATAGTGTTTAAAACTCTCTCTGGGAGGCTTGTAGGCTCCCATCGAGTGGCCAAAGGTGCAGAGCCCACAGTTTGGGTCGAGGGTGCCATATTGTCCCGTTTGCTTGAGAGAGGAGATCCCCTCTCAATGGAATGGGCCAGCGGGCTGCTACCAGCAGCCGTGTTAGCTCTGACAACCAAAGTTGGTTCTTCCAGAGGGGGGCCACCAAGAGACCCCTGTGTCCCTGCTCCTTGATTCGCCTGATTACCTGTGGGATCAGGGCAATCGGGGGAAATGCGTAAAGGAGGAGGTTGGGCCAATCGTGGGCCAACGTGTCCCTGACCTTCGAATAATAAATTGGGCAATGAGAGTTGTCTTCTGAGGCAAAGAGGTCTACCTCTGCCTTGCCGAACATCTCCCAGATTGTCTGAACCATCTGCAGATGGAGCATCCACTCCTCTGAGGGGACATTGCTTCGTGATAACTTGTCCGCTCCCTGGTTCAATATGCCCGGTACATGCGCTGCCTTTAGCGAGTGCAGGTTGAGTTGAGCCCATTCCAGAAGGCGCTCTACCAGAATGAAGAGGCGCTTCGAGGAGAGGCCTCCTTGATGATTTATGTAAGATACCACAGACATGTTGTCCGAGTGGATTAGCACATGGTGTCCTATCAGGACTGGCAGGAAGAACTGACAGGCTTGATACACTGCTAGCATCTCCAAGCAGTTGATGCAAAGCCCTTTTTCCGCTTTTGACCAATGGCCGAAAGTCGGTTTGCCCTCGCACAGCGCCCCCCAACCTCTGTTGGAGGCATCTGTTGTGACAGCTTTCCTCCTGTAAGCCATTCCCATGGCCACGCCCTGTTCCATCCAGCGGGAGTCTTTCCAAGGGACTCAGGGCTGTTACACAGGCCTGGCTCACCCTGACAAGTAGGCGTCCGTGGCGCCACGCATGTGATGGAACCCGTGGTTTCAGCCAGCGCTGAAGGGGTCTCATATGAAGCAGGCCCAGCTGTAGTGCTGGTGACGCTGCGGCCATGAGGCTCAGCATCCTCCGAAATGTCATGAGAGGGCGAGCGGCACTGCTTTTGAAGGAGGCCGCGAGTTTCCACATCGCCAGAGCACGTTCCGGCGCGCCTACAGCTCTCATTTGAGCTGAGTCGAAAACTGCCCCCAGGAACGGTATTCGTTGGCTGGGGAGCAGCATGCTCTTGGCGAAGTTGACCTGAGTCCCAGGTGCTCTAAGTGGCTGAGGAGGAGTGTGCTATCGATTCTGCCTCTGACTGGGCCAGCACGAGCCAGTCATCGAGGTAATTGAGAATGCGGATTCCCATCTGCCTCAGAGGGGAAAGAGCCGCGTCCATGCGTGGGGGTCTTCGAGCGAATTGGAGTGAATATCCTCGTTTTATTATTCCCAAAACCCACTTTGACACTCCGGGGATGGCCTGCCAGACCTCGACCTGCGTGGCTAGGGGTTGGATTAGCTCGAGTGACTGGCTGCCCGAAGGCAGGGCACTCGTGGGAAATGGAAGAGGAAATTTGCTCTCTTTTTAAAACTGTATGTATTTTATTTTTCCAGCTATAACAGCGGTTGGTTGCTTGGGTGCTTGAACTGGCCCAGAGTTCGCAACAAACACATTTCCCTCTACACCCAGGGTTGAACGAGGTGATAGGAGGCTTAAGAGAGGTCGCTTGGGGGGTGGTCCGGCTGCAGCGAGACCTGGCCCCATCCTCTTCCTGTCTCGCAGATCAGGAAGACGGCGGAGGTGCCGGGTCCAATGCTACCTTGGGTCGGGGTCCTTGGCGCTTAGGAAATAGGTAGCGTCTAGCCGAGCGGGAACGCCCTCGTGTCTACTGAATCTTGGCAGGCTGAATGGCACTGGCTTC